AAGGGTAATTAAAATAAACACAAGGTGATGTAGGGGAAGCGTACGAGTGGGACGATATTAATGAGATAGCAATCTCAAGAACACCAAAACACGATATCAAATCTTATTTCATTTCAATAATCAACTGAAGATAACAAAATAGGGAGAGTCCTTTATATAAGGCTCCTAAACCCAAAAAGTAACTTGCTCACCAAGACTAAACATAAATAACAAATAAATATTATATGCTAATAATAATAATAATAGATATTAATTAAACTACCAAATATTCTAATACCAAAAATAATAGATATTATCCTGCATCATTCTCCTCCGGTTGAGCAGGATTCGCCATCAATCCGACCCGATCTCGTTGCCAGCGTGAAGAGTCGAACCCATGGCAGCAGTCACCCGTCTTTTCCCCCTGTCGAACACGAACGTTGAATGTCGCATCTGTTTGCAAGGCCGGACAAATGCTCGTGGGAGAAAAGCTCGGGCTTGCGCAAAACAGATAAACTACCAATGTTTCCAGAACCTTCTTCACGTATTTAAGGACAACAACATCGTGAAACTCGACATCAATCTCGGCGGGGGTGGAAAATCGTCGAAGGGATTCACCTCCGAGATGGTCTCCTCACCGTCTTCGTCACCGGACGGTGGTTGTGGAGATCTCCGGCAGGGCGCCCCGCCTGGACCACGGCCTCTACATCCTCCGCGAATTCCCCCGCGCACGCCCCGGTTGCCGGCGTAACGGTACGTTTGCCTGTCCCGAACCATGGTACGGATAGTTAGACGTATGTCCCCGATCTCCGAGGACAGATCTGCAATCTCACGACCCATCATTTCGAGCTGTTGGCCAAACCACTCGGTCCTGCGGCTAAGGTTGTAGATGACGGCTACACGCATGTCGTTTGCAGCATCTTGTAGTCGCGACAGCACACGTGAATCGTGTTGACTTCTGATACCAACTGATGTAGGGGAAGCGTACAAGTGGGAAAGATAAACGAGATACTCTCTCGTAAAACACACAAAACTCACAATATCTGATTCAATCTCAAAACAAGACAAATATCTGATTCTTAATGCGATATCTGGTTCATAAAAACGAGACAAATACCGGGAAGTAAAGAAACCGAATACTGCATGAAATTTTACAACTTAAGACACTTTCTCAATAAAAATGTACTTTATGTGAACGAAAATATGTATACTTTATTTAGCATATAAGAGCATCTCCAATGCTATGCTTTTGAAAGCCAATGATTTATAACACATGTCAATTAATGATTGTAATGTTAATCCACATAGGAATAATGTTAAAAGAATGAAAATTTGAATCAAATTAGTATCTCCAATGCATCAATTTGATAAGAAGTTATTTGTATAGGTGGACCAATTATAATAATTGATTGATACAAAAATAATAAAAAAATAAATCAAATATAAAGTGAATTGATGAGTCATCATGTTTAACATGGTGTTAGATATTAGAAAGTGAGTTCAACAATGTCAATATTAAATGTCATCCACATCATCATGAAAGAGCTAATGACAAGATGCATTAGAGAATAAATTAGTAACAAAATTTCAAGAATTGATGATATGGATAAATTTTTACAATGTCAAAAGTCAGATTGGAGATGCTCCAAGTATATTGACAAAATTATACTTTCAACTTTGGAGGGGACTAATTTTGGCCTTATTCATTAGCTAGGGAGTGAACTACATATTTTTTACTCATGGACGACTGATCACAAAAAGGATTGAGATTTTTTTTCAGTTAAAAAAAAAGGTCACAATAATTCATTATTCCCCTAAACTTAATTGTTTTTAATATTTTATTTCATTTTTAGTTTTGAATACGAGAGGGGAAAATATTAAAATAACACCTTAAGATATGTCCGAAACATTTCAAATCTTGTTCAGAATCAAACAACAAAAATTCGGTGTCCAGTCAAAGTCAACGCTGGTGGGCATATCGACTCTGATGAATGGGGAATCTGAAAGAGATGATGAGATCGGAGACGGCGACCCTCGTCCTGGTCAATCTCGCTGGAATCATGGAGCGGGCCGACGAGTCCCTGCTGCCGGGGGTCTATAAGGAGGTCGGCGCCGCCCTCCACGCCGACCCCACTCGCCTCGGCTCCCTCACCCTCTTCAGATCCATCGTCCAGTCCTCCTGCTACCCGCTCGCCGCCTACCTCGCCGTCCGCCACAATCGGGCCCACGTCATCGCCGCCGGCGCCTTCCTCTGGGCCGCCGCTACCTTCCTCGTCGCCTTCTCCTCAACATTCGCCGAGGTCAGACCAATAATC